CAATTGAGAATTTATGGTTAAGATGCCAAGCATTGCATTTTGTATACAATCAACACAGCACATCTCCCAGTCAACACCATTGTTACAGTTAAGCATGTTATTGGGAGCATTGTGATCTTGGGATGCTTCTGTTCAGCAGGGATAGGAAACATGGCTAGGATTAGGCAATGAATGAAAAATGAGTAGGCAAAGCATGGTACGAATACTAGAGAAAAACCTGTTTCTGTCTGCTTAATAAGTGTTAAAACTGGAGTGAAACTTCCAGGCCAATTATCTAAAGAAAAGGCTGAGGCTACACTAGAGTGGCTTTTGACTAAGAAAGTGAATGTTCTTGAGTGGCCCAGTATAAGTACTGACATTAATCCTGCTGAGAATCTGTGGAATGACTTGAAAAATGAAAGAACTGGAGCAGTAATGCCAAGAAGAATGGGCCAAACCTGTACCAAGTCAATGTGCAAAGTTGATAGAGTCTTTCCCCAAATAACTAGGTACTGTAATTGCTGCCAAAGATGTATCCACCAAATGTTTAATGAGTTAATGGGTGAATACTTACGCAATTAACATCATCAGCAGCATATTTTAGATTTTTTCTGTTTAGTTTTTGCCAGCTTTTGCTGACGGTTTCAGTTTGAGCATTTAGATTTTGAGGGAAACATTGAGTTTAAAAATGTGCATGTATTTTATAATAATTTTCAAAATTGGACTCCGTATAAAGGATTTGCATACTTTTGCAAAGCATGGCTCAACAATACTGTGTACGTCCAAAATGAAAAGTATTGAATCTTATCTCCCCTTGACAAAATGAAGTTATTTTCAAATATATATATATAAAGAAAATCTCTAGATTGGTACCTTCCATTGTTTTTATGTCTTGTTTAATTTATCATCCTGTCACTTCTCAACTTGCATGTTGGCAGTCAGAGATTTGTTAAAACACGGGCTTCTGTAGTTTGGGCTAGGAAAGGAAATGATGAAATACATTCATACATCCCGTCCAGTGTATACCCTGCCTTTCAATGTTGCTTGCCAGGATGGGCTTCGGCTCCCCCATGTCCCTGAATTGGAGTAAGCCGTTAGAAAATGAATGAGGGATGAATATGCCATACCCTTTAACTATTAGGGAATATAAATGTGAATATAGAATATTTACATTTACCAGGGTGTTGTAGATTTTTTCATTTCAATTATTTTCCCAATAATTATCTATTTGTTTTTCTTTTGAATTTTGTTGGTTGCAAGGTCACATTAAAGATGAAAAAATATCTGACATGAATTATCTTGATTTCTGGCTTTACATCACAAAAATCTGCAATTTCAGTAATTTGAATTTTATATCCACTGTATGTTCTAGCAGTTCCGGATTAAAAAAACCTGATTGAGAATGGTCAGCGTTGCAGGACAACTGGGAGCTTACTGATTTCTTGCCCATATACAAATCTAGTGTTATAGTTTAAAATAAAAGGCATTTGGAGGTACTGTGACTTTGAAACAACTGATTAACAAATCACACAGCTTTACATATGCGTCCTGAAGACGGTGTGAAGACTAAAGTATGCAGAGCAGCATCAGTAGTATAATTAAATAAGAGGAATAGCAACATTTCAGAGCATCTGTTCCCCAATGTGGATGACTTACATTCAAATAAAACGAGAGAGAAGGTAAGAACTCAGTAAACAATATCTCCTTATAGCATACAGTACCTTGCAACAATAAAGTTCAGTTTTGTGCATGCTATGAGTGAGTTAAGAATATAAATAAATATGTTTCCAATTGAACTAGAGTTCTCAACAAGGCCTTTAGAGTTGCAAGTTCTGTGTTTAAATTCAAGAAGATTCTGCATCTTTATGGTACATATTTTGAATAGTGTCATATTAAGCAGTCCCACACCAGAATAAAACCAATTTGTCCTATAGCTAGAATCACAAAACTTTCTTTGGAAAGGGGCAGACTGTTAATACTGTATATTGTCATCTAAAAACAGGCTTTGCTTCCACCTTTAAGAACCCAGTGAGTTCTAAAAGAGTCTGATGTGCTTTGTTGTTGCTAAGGCTCCTGTGAAGCATGGCTGCATTAAGATAAATACCAAGGGAAGGATGATCTGTAAGAAGAGACGAACTGGCAAAATTCTACAAGCAGAATAAAAGTCATATTGTGAATGCAGTCTTATTTATTCTCTGATCTGCACAATTTACTGACACACATACCCAGTAAACAGTAAACCAGTAAAAACAACTCTGCACTTGTGTGCTGCTCTTTCTTTCTGAAAAGTAAATGATGTGGAGCCGGTGCTGTCAGCATTTTCATGTTTTAAAGACTGTAGGGAAATGTCAAATTTGATGCAAGTCAGCAAGAATATAAAATCTTATAGAATTGTGTTGGTTTTCTTTCTTTTGTGGTGCAAAAGTCAAAAGTACAGTATCCAACCCAATGGGACATTGTGGTTTCTGCAGGAAAGCTCAAAAAAGAAATTTCATATGGAACAGTGATAAACTTTCTAGCTAGATTCAGATGCTATTTGAGTGGCGATTGTTAGTAAGTTATTTTATATATTTTTTATATATTTTTCAGATTGTTTTCTGAAAGGAGAAATTGCACAATTAGTGATAAACTTTCTGTGCCTTCCAAACATATTGGGAACACAAAGTCAAAACTCTTATAGCCATCAACA